GAAGCGTTTATTCCACTGAGCCATCTTCCCTGCCCTATGTGTTTAATGAGCAGTCGTGAAGGCATCTTTGTGAGGTTAGGATTTTGGCAGTGGTGTGGATGTGGTGTCAAAATTCTTGGGTAAATTGTTTGTAATATAAAAGGTGTCATTTTCCACAGAAATCTCTTGGCTAGGGCCAGGGAGATAGCTCAGTAGAAAAAGCACTTGTCTGGCAAGTGCAAGGTCCTGAGTTCAGTCCCTGGTACCGCTAAAAAAAAAAAAAAGAAAAATCTCCTGGCTAGAGAATGTGCAAAGCCTGTTTCCACAGACTCTGTCAGACCGTGCTCCATATTTTATTTCTGTATGTTTTTCTTCTTCCTGTGCACCTGTTCCCCTATGCCAGTCTTCTTCTCTGGGAGGCACTGTGATGTCTGTCTCATTTTCACACCTGTCTTTCAGGCAGATGCCTCCATTTCAGACATTTGTACAATCTACTGTGCAACCAAGAGTGCATGCAGGCATACCAGTGCCTCCCTTATTTCCTGTATTTAAATTACTTCTGTGGTGCTGGGGCTTGTGCGTGCTGGATACACCTGCTGGACCCTGCGCTCTTCCCTGCCCACCTCGCCTACTATAGGCCACACAGTCCTATTTGTCTTTGGGCCTGGAAAGCGTACCGTCATTTTTAGATTTTCCTGATTTGAAATCCTTGGAGCAGGGCCGGGGAGATGACTCAGTAGGATAAGCGCTTGACTGGCAAATGCAAGGATCTGAGTTCAATCCCCGGTTCCGCCAAAAATAAATAAATAAATGGTTAAAACTTTAGGGGCCAGGGAGATGGCTCAGTGGAATAAGCGCTTCCCTGGCAAGCGCAAGGGCCTGAGTTCAATCCTTGGTTCCACCAAAAAAAAAAAAAAAAAAAAAAAAAAAAAAAAAAATTTAAAAAAAAAAAAAAAAAGAAATCCTTGGAGGGATGAATGCTTCTTCTTTGGAATGAAGTGTTAGGTCCTGTCATCCAGACTGCTCGTTCTTGGACTGCCAGTATCTGTGTGGATGTGTCTGCATTTGGAACAGAACTGCTGATAATGGTTTTTTTGTTTTACTTGTGTTTGTTTTTTCCTTTTGTTTTGTTTGAAACAGGGTCTCACTTGGTGCAGGCTGACCTTGAACTCACTATGGAACCCAGGGCTGGCCTTGAACTTGATATCCTCCTGGCTCAGCCTGGGGCTGATTTGTAAGGATGGTTTTGCTCCTCTGACTTAGAAAGCAATGCTAGGGGGCTGGTGAGATGGCTCAGTGGTCTAAAGCACCTACTTAGAACAAGCTAAGCTAAGCAAAGCATCAGGGACCGCAGTTCAATCCCCCAGCACCACATGCCAGCCATCCCCGCCCCCTGGTGGGCTGAGCTGGCCACACACTAAATAAATAAATAAATAAATAAATAAATAAATAAATAAATAAATAAATAAATAAATTTAAAAAAAAAAAAAAAAAGAAAGAAAGCAATGCTAGGCTGCGGCAGATGAGGCTGTTAATTCTGCCTTCTGGTTCAGTTGGAAGCCCAGTGCCCAGTGGTCGCGTGCAGGCCTGTCCCTTCAGAAGGCCCCCTTGTCCTTGCTCTCAGCACGTGCTGGACCGTGTGGGGACCTGTGCGCAGGCAGTGTCCATGGCAAGAAGCCTGGAGATGCTCGTGACTATAGGCACCAGGGGTGCAGATCGGGGCCCCTTACACTTCGGTGGCACCTGATGGCTCTGTGGTGACCCTCATCCCTGAGTCACCTGGTAGGACATTACCAACCTTCCCTGCACCCCGCAGGCTGTCTGCCACCAAGGAGGCTCTTGGGCTGCTTTCCCATCAAGAGAGAGGAGCAAAAATGATTTCCTGAGAAAGTAGAAAAGGAAACGTAAAGCAGCAGCAGTGTTGGCTGAGGTTTCCTTGTGTACTTCATGTGTGAGGCATGTGTGTTGTTTGGTGGCAGTGTGCATCTAACCACTGCGCTCCCCTGCTCCAAGTCACTGCCATTCAAAACCCAAGACCATCAGTGTGACAGAGGGAGCAGTCGCCTTGCTCCTGGTCTCTGGCCTCAGTCCTTGTGGCTTAGTGAGACTGAGTGTCCAGCAGGAGCACATGACTGGAGACCTCTGGCCTTGTGGGAGCTGGGAGTAGATAAAGGGATATAGTGTCCCTAGTATCCCCTCCATAGCTCCGGCTCTACATCTCTGATAGCCTACCCCACAGCATGGCTGTCACACACGGGCCTTTGGGGGCCAGTCAAAGAGGCTGTGTTAAAAGTTTGCAGATATGAAAGTGAAGTTACAGGCATCAGGCCAGTAAGAATGGGCAGGGGCCGCCCCTCGTGCATGCAGGCTGACCAGGGGAGTACTGCTGTTGGCACCCCAGTCAGGAAGCAGTGACAGGCTGGGTACATGGTCCCTGCCTGCCTGTCATCCCAGCTCCCGGAGGCTGAAGCAGGAGGATCACAAAGTTCAAGTCCAGCCTGGCCAGCTTGGCAAGATCCTGTCAAAGAATAGGGAAAGAGAAGAGAAGCAGCAGCAGTAGTGAGTTTTAAAGACAGAAAGCTGTCTGTGATGCTCAGAAATGAGACCTGTGGGTGTCAAAGGAATGAACCATTTGCCCATGAAGGGACTGTTTTCTGGTGGGGGCAGCCGGTGGTGCTCATGTCTGAGGAGATGTCAGCCTTCAGCGCACAGCTTAATGCAGGCAGCCCACCACTAGGCTTCAGTTGTATTTGTGGGGCTGAACTCCAGAGCCTGCACATGCAGCTATGTCCACAGCCCTTTAAATTTTGCTAAGTTGCCCACACTCAAACTTGTGATTCTCCTGCCTTAGCCTCCCAGAGTGCTGAGATGGCAGGCATGTCCCACCACACCTGGCTTCGGCATCCTTCTCTAATGTCTTCCATGGGTACATAGACCCAGGCATCACATGATGACAGTTCTGTGGGTGACACCCTGCAGATGTGCTGGTGGTTCCATGAGATGGTGTTGCCTGCTGATGTGGCTGCCTCAGTTTGCAAAAGTGCACTGAGAGTGTACGTGGGCACAGATGCTGAGGCTGCATTTCTCCTTATCTTATTAAGCATGGAGGGTGCCACTGCACACATGTAAGAGACGGTGGCAGGTCAGTGGGCTGGAAAAGCTGTGCTTAAGAGCACTAGGGTCAATGGGTTTGGTGGTGCGTGCCTGTCATCCCAGTATTGTGGGAGGCTGAGGCAGGAGGATTCCCTGGAGTTCAAGGCCAGCCTAGACCCCAGTGCTCTAGGCTGAAGGTGGCTCCATGGTAGAGCACTTTAATGGCAGGAATGGATCTGGGTTCCACCCCTGGGTGTCACAGAGAGGGAACAAGTCCAGAACACTAGGGTCTCACTTCTCCCAAGACCTGGAGTGTCAGTGCTCGATGCCCAGGTCAGGTGGGTGTAGGAGGCCTTGCTGTCCTTCCTCTCCTGGCCTGGAGAATTGTAACCAGTTCTCTTTCCTGGCCTCATGTTCAGAAGCAGAGGTGTCCCCTGTGGGGGGCCTTGTAGCTCAGCCTCTCCCTAGTGTCACAGCATGGTACCTACCTGTGGGCCCCAGCTGGGAGGGCTCTGCTCTGGGGCCACATCCTGATCCTGCCTCGCTGGGGAGGGGACTCTTAATTGAACAGCAGGGGTGCGCTCAGGCTGGGCTCCTGTGCTGCTCTGGGCATCTGTCTCCTCTCCCACTGTGCCCTGCCACTGCTGGCTGTCTCCCAGGCAAACGCTTCTCAGACTTCTTTGCCCAGCCACCTCACCCTGGCTGTCACCCTTCCAGGCCTCCCTGGCTTTTCCGTCCTCCATGACTGGTCTCCTTGGTCACCTGCACTTTTTTGTTACTGTTCTAGGAGGGTTTTTTTTTGTTTTTTGTTTTTTTTTTTTGAGACAGGGTCTCACTATGCTGTTCAGGTTGGCCTTGAGCTCTTTGTAGCCCAAACTGGCCTCGAACTCACAGTGATCCTCCTGCCTCTGCTTCCAGAGTGCTGGGATTGCAGGCATGCGCCACCATGCCCGGCTTTTTTTTTGGGGGGGGGTTGAGACAGATTCTTGTAGTCCAGGCTGGCCTCGAACTTATAGCACTCCTGCTTCAGCCTCCTGAGTGCTGGGATAACAGTTGTGTGCCCTTACTCCCCATCAGCACCTGTACCATTTGGGTCTGACAGAGGGAGTGTGCATGGTCAGGGGAGAGCCCTAGGAAGGAGTTGGGACATAGGGCCTCTCAGCCTGTTGTGTTGGCCCTCAGTGCCCTGCTCCTGCCCTTCAGTGCTGCAGTGTCACCTACACCCTTTACTGGTGTCTGTTTCCTGATCTTGCCCTTTGCTGCTGTGTTGCTGCCAGTGGCATAGAGACATTCAGGGCCCCGGTCGGTTCCCAGCGCCTCCAGCAACTCCAAGTCCTGGAAAGGGGCTCTGTGGGTGGGTGGGGACCCTGGTGGGAAATGTGGGTTGTGCCTTTGGGTCCCTGGGAGACCCCCAGCCGTGAGCAGCGTGGTGCATCCTGGATGGCAGGTGGTCCCTGAGCTGCAGTCTCTTGTCTCAGTCTCAAGCCTGGCACCAGGGCTCACAGCCGCTGCCACTGCCTGGCCAGCATGAAGTCCTGGGTTCCATGTCACCTCTTGGGGATGGCCTGGCAGCCCAGCTGCCCTAGTTGTGCCCATACCCTGTGTCCCGCTCTGAAGGCCATCTTTCCACTCTTGCCTGACTGGCAGTCCTCTGTGGATGGCATATGGGGGACTCAGAGGTTCCAGTCACCTCCTCTGGTCTTGCCATGTCTGCATGGTCAGTGCCAGGTGGGAAGAGCAGAGTCCCGAAGGTCAGCAGGGGCTGCTCTGGGCTCCCAGGCGCCACCCAGTGCCCCATGGCTTCTGTTGTCCTGATCAGAGTCTGCCTTGCATTTGACAGAGCTACCTATGTGTGCCCAGACTGAGTGGGCAACCAGATGCCGCTGAGCGTTTACCTGGGAATTAATCCTGTTTTCCTTTTCTTTCAGTGGTTGATATCCCAGCAAGTATCCTTTCATTGTTGAGAACATCTTTTTTGTTTGTTTTGTGATGCTGAGGCTGGCAGATGGAGACCAAGGCGTGACACCTGCTAGGTGAATGCCCTGTACTGTGCCCTTGGAGTGGAAAAAGGAGTGTTAGGGGGGGCCCAGCCACAGGCCCCCTGGAGGGGCGTTGCCCCAGCCCAGTAGCCTCTCCTTCCCTCCTTTTGTGCCTGGCCTGCCACAAGCACTGTTGCCACTGGGACAGAAGATGTGGGGCTTGGATTGCAGCCCTCTACACTGCTTGCTCTGCAGTATGTTCTTCCTTAACTGGACGTCCCTAGATTCCGCAGTTTGAAGATGTTAAGTTTGAAGCAGCGAGTCTATTGTCTGAACTGTATTGTCAAGAGGTAAGGACAGGGGCTGGAGAGATGGCTCAGTGGTCTAAAGCACCTACTTGGAACAAGCTAAGCTAAGCAAAGCACAGGGACCACGGTTCGATCCCCCAGCACCACATGCCAGCCAGCCGCGCCCCCCTGGTGGGCTGAACTGGCCACACACACACACACACACACACACACATTAAATAAATGTTTAAAAAAAAAAAAAAGTAAGGACAGACCAAGGGTTCTGAACCCTGCGCAGAGCCTCTCCCTGTTGCCCTGGCCTGAAAGAAGGTTGAAGAATGGGGCTTGAACCTGGTGTGCCGGCTCACATCTGGCATCCCAGCATTCAGGATCCTGAGGCAGGAGCATTGCTGCGAGTTCTAGGCCAGCCTGGACTACATAGGGGATCCTGTCCCAAAACCAGAAAACCAAAAGATGATGGGGACTTGGAGGAACTAGAATCCCATCTGCCTTAGGCTGGTCTTGAACCTGGACACAGATGGTCTTTCTCTACTTTCTTAGTGCCTGGGATGGCAGGCTGGCACCACCAACCTCGTTCCCATCTGGCCCTGAGGATTTCTGATCACAGGACTCCCTCTCTAGCCCTAAATAATTTACTCCAAGACTCCCTTTGGTTACCAGAATCATTCTGTGAGTTGCTCAGTGTTACATAGAACCTGGACACATCTTGCTTTACAGTTATTGTTATTCATTGAATTTTTGCTTTGCTGGGGATGGACTAGGCAAGTGCTGTAACCTGCATACCTGCATAGCCCAGCCGTCTCCTTCACGTGTAGTTCATCTCTAGGAGACTCCAGCTCCCTCACACAGTGTGACAATGTTCATGGCCTTATGTGCTCTTGGGCCTCATGACAGGGAGAAGACAGAACTTTTTCTTTTTCTCTTTACAGCAGCGCTAGGGTTGAACCCAGGGCCTTGCACTTGTAAGGCCCTCATGCTAATGCCCAGCCCTCAGATATTTTGGATCTGTGGTTGCTTGAACCCAGGGGCTCAGAGGGTTTTCATGAGTAACCATTTGCTGGCAAGGGCACAGAGACTTTTTTTTATCCTGAACCAACACAGAGTATGAAATTTACGGACGTTTGTGTTCTTTAGCTGGCTGCTGATCTCTGTTGTAGTTCAGCATTGCCTTCCCCTGTTTTTGAATGAAGACTTGTGACTGTGCAGGGTGGCACATGTATATCCATCTACTTGGGAGGCTGAGGCAAGAGGGTCACAGGTTGATGGCAGCCTGGGCAAATTAGTGAGACCCTGTCTCAAAATAAATAAGGCTGGGAATGGTGGTGCACACCTGTAATCTCAGACTTAGTAAGCTAAGGCAGGAAGATTGCTCCCCATTTGAGACCAGGTGGGGCTACAGAGTGATTTCAAGGCCATCCCAAACTGCATAGTGAAACTGTCTCAAAAAGATGGAAAACAGCTGAGGATATAGCTCAGCGGTGTAAGTACCTGCCTGGCAAGCGCAAGATCCCTGGTACTGAAAAAAAAAGAAAAAGAAAAAAAAAAAAAACGAAATGAAAAAGAAAAAGAAAGGCTCCGTCTATGGCCATGTAGTACTTGCCTAGCATGTGCAAGACCGTGGTTCCATCCCCAGCTTCACATTAGAGAAAGGACTCTTGGTGGCCTAGAGGCAACCAGTATGGGCCTTGTGTCCATGGTCTGGTCTTAGCACTTGAAAGTGGGGACTGGCCTTCATGGGACTGTACAGGATTTTTTTCAGTTTAGTTGGATGAGAAATTATTTTAAGAGTGGCACAGAAACTTCCCAGACAGCGGGCCCAATAAAGTATTATTCTCTTTTGATAAACTGGCAACCCAGAGCACCCTGCAGTGAGCACAGCTGGGGAGGCCTGTGGGCCGGCACTGCGCAGAGGGAGGCCGTGGCTCTTGGCACGTTTGCCCAAATGGGGCTGTTTCTTTTCAGAATTCTGTGGATGCAGCAAAACCGCTCTTGCGGAAGGCAATCCAGATCTCACAGCAGACCCCATACTGGCACTGCCGCCTGCTCTTCCAGCTCGCTGTGAGTACCAGAGCAGTGACTGAGCCGCCACCCTGAGTGGGGGGACCCGGGGACTTTCTTCACCTGTTAGCAACTCACCACTCTGACCTCCCACCCCCACCACCTCACACGCGGCTCAGACCAAACAACCTGGCTCCACTTTTCTCTTGGAAGTGGCCTGGTGCAGGGGTAACGATGGGGTGCTGGTTGCTTTGGGAATCTAGGGTCCTGACTGTCCTAGTGATACTCTTTGTCCCCTGAGCTCCCCGAGAGCTGCATAAATTCCCAGGCACTGCCTGAGAGGCACCCCATTCCCAGGGCACCTGGTGCTGCCATCTACCATCAAGGTGCCCAGCCCCTGGGCTATAGGTTGGGGGCTCGGGCTGCGGTGTCTGTATCTTCCTCACTGCGGCTGGACACCCTCATAGCCTTTCTTTGATGCACTCTCCTGTTGCTGGCCCAACTTCCCTCTGACCCCTTCTTGTCCCCACAGCCTGAATACACATGAGTAGACCCTGGGTCGGAAGTTCCCACTGGGGCAGCAGCCACTGGTCCCAGAAGGGCCTGATGGGAGGCCTGCCAGCGCTCTGGGACCTGTCCCCACAGCCCACCTTGGTCCTCATGCACACAGTCTCCTTTAATCTTGCCCCACATGCTTGGGTTTGTGGTCAGGGGAGACTGCAGCTAGGCATTCACAGAGTCTGTATGCCGTGTGTGTTTGAGGATCCCAAGATCAAGACTGAGGCCACTGGTCTCTGTTCAGGCTTTCAGATTTGAAATTGTGCTAGTCACTTAAGCCGGAACCCTTGTAGCACTCCAGGGACACCCTCATAATTTAGGATCTCCACTGGTGACCCAGGAAGCAGTCAGTCGAGCACATCCCAGGCATCAAGATCCAGGGTTGTGAGTGTTAGCTGCTGGTTCTGCACCATTAGCTTTAGAAGCTGTACACTCGAGACAGCACAGGCCAAGCACAGGTTCACCTCCAGGACAATTAGGGCTGATGAGAGAATTCAGTTAGTTTAGCTCGGAACCAACACTGGGGCAGTTTCACTGACAATTGGGAGGTATGGGTGGACTTGCTTAAGCAAAGTGGCCAGGGCAGGTCCTGTGACACAGACAGGAATGGCAGTAACGAGTGGTGTCTGCTATCTCCTTTGCAGCAACTGCACACGCTTGAAAAGGACCTGGTGTCAGCCTGTGACCTCCTGGGTGTGGGAGCCGAGTACGCCCGAGTGGTGGGGTCTGAGTACACACGGTAGGTGCCACCCGCTGTGCTCTCCATTCTCTAAGTGGAGATAGTGTGGCCATCTTCCTCCTGACCCCAAACAGGAATGGCCTTATCATGTGAAAAGGTGGCCACCTTCTCACCTATGAGCCACGCAGGTGAAAGCTGCAGGAACACCTGTCCTGTTGGCTCACCAAACAGACGGCCGACAGTTGGCTGAGGGGCAACCAGCATCAGCTGTGTTCTGTCTTATATTATAAAGATGCCTTAGGACTTGACTGTTTCCATTCTTGGAGGCATGGGGTATGGGTGGCAGTAATGTAGGTGGTGACCTCCACGTCTGCCTGATGGGGTGCTGAGGAGCTTGACGGAGAGCAGAAGGCAGAGTGAGCATACATTGGTGTAAAAGGGGACACAGGCCAGTGTTGTGCGTGAAGCCGTTTAGCCTCTGTGCAGCCTGGTACCCAGGGGACAGTTCAAGCGTCGGGTTGCTGGGCACCTTCTAAGGGCCTGTCCCCCTCTGTCCTCATGCAGAGCATCTCTCCTTAGCAGACTAGCGTACTGGGGCTTGGAACAGTCCACACACGGCCTTCCTGGCCTCCATGGGTGACCAACCTTTTGACCTGCTGGGCTGCATTGAGTAGAGAGGAGTTGGGTTAGCCTGTCTATAAAATGTTGCTATACTTTGTGTGTAAGTTATAAAAGATACATATTATATTTGTTTCGTGACAAAGGCAGACCACAGGTGGGACACTTCCAGGGCTGTTGGCACCAAGCAGCTCCCTGCATGCTGTCCCTTCTCCAGGATACCATCTGGGTGGGTGGAGCCAGCCTTTGGCCACCCTGTCCTAAGATGGTAGCTATCACACCTCGGCCCAGTAGCTCCACATCCCCGGCCCAACCTGTGACCTACACTTTGCTGGATTGCTGGGTGTGTGGGGCCAGGCCAGGCCTGTGGGGCAGGGAGATGTCACAGAACCTCCAGGAAGCCTTCCAGAAACAATCAGTGGTTATGCATTCCCTTGTGAACATGGGCTAGCACCCTCGTGAAGCCCCTGCCTGTAGCATCCTGCGGCCTGTGCCAGATGGTCCAGGGCCCCACCAAGGGTCAAGACCTGCAGCTCCCAGGCTCAGAGCCTCTTACCAGCAGCACAGGGGTTCCCAACCCATGCATTTCCGATGTGGCAGCATGAGATCGTCTTCGACTTGCAACAGTTGGGTGATAGCAGGTGGGCAGCCTGAAACTCAGGAGCTGAAACACAGGTGGAGCCTGTGTTGCCTCACTGGGCACGTGTGGCTTTTTTAAAAAATTTATTTTATTTATTTATTTTGTGTGTGGCCAACTCAGCCCACCAGGGGGCAGGGCTGGCTGGCATGTGGTGCTGGGGGATTGAACCGCGGTCCCTGTGCTTTGCTAAATTTGTTCTAAGTAGGTACTTTAGACCACTGAGCCATCTCACCAGCCGGCACGTGTGACTTTGACCTGCCAGCCAGAGCACCTCACTCACTTGTGAAGTGCAGAGAACAGTGCTTGCTTGGAGTCTCAGCCATAGTGCGGGGGGACTCAGAGCAGGCCAGCTGGGAGCAGGGCTCAGTGTTGGCCAAGGCCTCTGCGCCTGCAGTCACAGCTGGGGTTTGTGGTTCTTGGCAGTGCTGGGCAGGGAACCCCAGGGCCTCTGCCTTCCAGGCAGTGCCCACCGCTGAGCTGTGCCGCAGTCCTGCTCCAGTGCCTGGGAGCCTTTGGGGCCAGGGTTGAGGTGTCTGCCCTACTTCCCTCCTACGCTGTGCTGCTGTTTTTTAGGTGTGCCCTGCAGTGCACATCTCACTGCTTTTCCTGCTGAGGACAGCTGTGTGTTTGTTCTTGTGTTGCTGGGATGCACAGTGGCAGGACAACCTCCTGAGGGCTGAGGGTGGTGAAGTGCAGCCACTGATGTCCAGGGCCTTCCTGAGTTTGTCCCTTACCCTTGAGGAACACTCACCCCATTCACAGATGCTACACTGAGGCATGCAGGAGCCACGCCTGCCTCCTGCCCCCTGCCCTGTGTGTCCCCTAACATCAGACCCACTGAGGTGACACCCAGCACACCCTCTGTCCTGTGCAGAGCATGGCCTTCTGAGCTCAGGACCACTCTAGTTTAAGCCTCAGAAGAGGAAGTACTGGGGCCGGGGAAATAACTCAGTAAAATAAGCGCTTGCCTGGCAAGTGCAAGGACCTGAGTTCAATCCCTGATTCTGCCAAAAAAAAAAAAGAAAAAGAAAAAAAAGGAGAGGAAGTATACACAGAAAAGGGCAGACTTGCAGATCTGTAAATTAAGATGCCCTTGCTGAGGACTGTGGATTGTCATTCCTCACCCATGTCTCAGCCTGGCAGGTCTGAGGCACTGGGACAGCCAGTGTCCTAGGGAGGCCATGCGCTGACTCTCCACCTCTCTTTCCAGGGCACTGTTCCTGCTCAGCAAGGGCATGGTAAGTGGAAGTGGGGTGTTGGTGATCCCTGCACCCATATGCAGCAGGCAGTTGTGAGGGGAAGCCCCTGCCCTCGTAGCCCTGTGGTTTGGGGAGAGGTGGGAACAAGGTCAGGCTGCTTGGGTCTGAAGTATGCTCAGCCAAGCCTTGTGTCCCCTGCCTGGCCAGCTGCTGCTGATGGAACGCAAGCTGCAGGAGGTGCATCCGCTGCTGACGCTGTGTGGGCAGATTGTGGAGAACTGGCAGGGGAACCCCATCCAGAAGGAGTCGCTGCGTGTCTTCTTCCTGGTGCTCCAGGTCACCCACTACCTGGATGCTGGCCAGGTGTGTGACACAGAGCTGTGGGGCACCATCAAGCATGGCCAGGTGCAGGTGGCACAGGATGGTCTACCATCGTCCCTTCCCGTGACAGCTCTCCTGCAGCATGCAGCCCCAAGTTGCTCTAGTATGTGTCTGGCACCACGGCTCGTAGATCCCCAGGCAGCCCAGGGTGTCATAGAGCAGGTGCTTACCCAAGGTTTCTTGCTGGGTGTTGTTTACTGTCATCCACTTGAGTGTTCCACATGTGGCCTGTGTCCTTCCCAGCTGTGGCTCAGCTTGGTGGGTAACCCCAGTGTCCCCCTCTCAGCTTTTTATGATTTGAGGCCACCCTGTCCCCCTGGCTCACATGGGGTGAGCACTCCCAGTACCTCTCCAGGATGCTAGAGGCTGCATTGGAGCCTCGTCACCTGTGCCCTGTGAGCTGGCCAGCTGAGCAGCAGACTGCAGCCCATTTTCAGAGACATGCGGGCTTGGGTCCAGGTACAGACAGGACAGGTGGTAGAAGCTGAGATCCCTTGGGGACTTTCAGTCATAGGAGGCCACTCCCTACCCCAGAGGGACAAGAGTCCTTGGAGTGGGGGCGGGGTGCACTCAGGTGGCCTGGTGTGCACAGGTAAAGAGTGTGAAGCCGTGCCTGAAGCAGCTGCAGCAGTGCATCCAGACCATCTCCACACTACACGATGATGAGATCCTGCCCAGCAACCCTGCTGACCTCTTCCACTGGCTGCCTAAGGAGCACATGTGCGTGCTCGTCTACCTGGTGAGTCCCCCCAGCCAGGCCTGGGTGGGGAGAGGGCCCCTCTGAGCTGACTGCTGCCCGCTCCCTTGCCAGGTGACCGTGATGCACTCCATGCAGGCCGGCTACCTGGAGAAGGCGCAGAAGTACACAGACAAGGCCCTCATGCAGCTGGAGAAGCTCAAGAGTGAGTGTGCTGCACGCTCGTGGTGCCCCCTGGTGGGCGGCAGCCTGTGCTACTTGTGTCACCAGCCTGCTAGCAGCCATTGGGACTAATGTGAGGGCAGAGGAGTCCTGGCGTGAACCAGGGGTCCTGACTAGCCAGGGCTGTTGCCCCACTTCCTTTGGCCCCACCTGTACGTGAGCCATGTGGGTTAGCAGTACCGTGCTTAATGCCTGCTAGCACAGTGAAGTGCTGCTGCTGCGCGGGTGTAGCTGCTTTTGCCAACTTACTGATGTGATGTGGATGCACCTAGGGTCAGACTGGCAGCAGCCCTCAGCTGTTGGCGAAGCGGGGTGCCAGTGTGCACACCTGTATTCCCAACACCTAGGAGACTGAGCCAGGAGGAATCGTGAGTCTGAACCCAGCCTGAACAACTTATTTTTTTAATTAATTAATCATTTTAAAAATTTTATTGAGACAGCCTGAACAACTTAGTAAGGTCCTTTCTCCAAGGAAAAGGATTCAGCCCAGGCCTTGGGCAGATCCTTAGGAACATGTAGGTTCTCCGCACGCTTGCTTAGCCATTAGTCCTCTGGCCTTAGGCACCTTTGTCTGGCTGGCTCTGCATCCTGCTGATGTGTGTGCCTACTCCCTGTTCCCTGAGTGTTGCTAGAAGAACAGTCAGCGGAGTTCCCAAGAACGTGGTCCCTTGCTCTGGCTGGTGTGCCTGCATGCATTATGAGGACAGCCCCATCTTAGGGCTCCAGATTGAGGGCAGCTGCAGCGCCTCCAGAATCCCTGTGTGCAAAATGATCCTTGAACACTGGGTAGGGGGTTAACTATCAAAAATGTGCCTCTAGGAATTTCCTTTCTGCAAGCCAGGGTCTCACTGGGTAGCCCAGGCCAGCATAGCTTCTTGAGTTCAAGCAATCCTCCTGCCTCAGCCTTCCTTTGGGCTAGCTAGGGCTACAGACTTAGCCTGTCTCGTCTGGCCTGAAGTTGCCTCTTTCCGGGGCCAGGAGGCTGGGGGTAGAAGTCAGACTCCAGCGTGTGCTAAACATGGACCTTCCACAGAGCCTTGTCCCACCCAGGACTTCTTCCGTGCAAGCTCTGGCAGTTCACACCTTGGGGGATGGGTAGACGAAAGCTGGCTCCGGGCCCGTGTGGCAGACAGCAGGGCCGGCTCTCACTCCGAGTGCATGCCTGCTTATGCCCACTCCCACCCGCAGTGCTGGACTGCAGCCCCATCCTGTCCTCTTTCCAAGTGATCCTGCTGGAGCACATCATCATGTGTCGGCTTGTCACAGGCCACAAGGCCACCGCACTGCAGGAGGTAGGTGGGCATGAAGGCCTGGCCGGGCGAGGGTAGTGCTGGGTCTGAGCCTTGGAACAGGGCATCCTTCTGAATCACCTCACTGTCACTCGGTGGCTCTCAATCCTGCATGCTATGACAGATCAAGGATCTAATGCAAACATCCAGCACCTGTCTGTCCAGGCTTGTCACCCTCGAAGGACACACAAGGGATGGAGGGGAAGGCAAGGCGGGTCACTCTACCTTCTGGCCAGATGTCCTCCAGGTTTTGGTCCCAGTCTGGGTGGGCGGCAGCCTGTGAGCATATCACCAGGTATGGGGGCCCCTCTCCAGAGCCAGGGCTCAGGTTACCTGTGACCGACCACAAGCTGCTCTTTCTCCACAGATCTCCCAGGTCTGCCAGCTGTGCCAGCAGTCACCCCGGCTCTTCTCCAACCATGCTGCACAGCTGCACACACTGCTGGTGAGCACGCCCACAGCCATGAGGAGCTCCGTGACCCAACCTGTGGGGTGCAGAGCACCCCCAAGGAATGACCTGTCACCCAGCACCCAGGCAGGATCTGGAGTGTTGCTACTGGGCTTCATTAAGCCAGCTCCTGGAGTCCCAAGTCATTTAGGCGTGGGAGTCAGGAGTGATACCGTGCCAAGATACAGTAGTCAGCAGAGCCACTTGTCATGCTGTCTGAGTACAGCTGCGTGTGGCCCTAATATAAAGTTTCCGGAACATTCTGTAACAGCTCCTCTCCCCCAGGGCCTGTACTGTGTCTCTGTCAACTGCATGGACAACGCGGAAGCCCAGTTCACTACAGCCCTGCGGGTATGGTGCCCCTGCCTCCTTCCAGGCGCTGGGCTGTGATGAGGGTAGTGCTGAGTGAGGTGTTACGAGCAGTGGTCTACACCAGCCCTGGCAGTAGCCAGGGCTTTAATAGGCTCAGGAAAGGCTAGGGGTGGGGCCTTCTTGCTAGTGTGTATTCCCAGGGGGCAGCCGCAGGGCCCCTTGCTCACTCCCGGAGACCAAGTTGCCTCCTGGCCTGGCTCACTGATACTACAGCCAGGTTCACCCTGGGTCCCAGGCTGTGAGACCTGACCAGCATGGGCCCTGGGCATGCTGTGGGCAGAGGAGGTACCTGGTTTCAGGAAGAGACGATGTCTAGAGGGTCGCCATCCTGTCAGATCCTGGTAGGAGGCTAGTACCATAAGCACGGCAACACCCCGCAAGGTCTAGGGCCCAGCTCTGCCACTTTTGTCCAGCACCAGACCAGTGGTCCACCTCAGCCCTGGCATTCCCCCAGAAAGAGGAGTCCTTGGTAGAAGCCTCAGGAGAGAGACCTCAGGGGTTAGGGGAGGCCTCCAGGGCTGTACTTTGGTGCTCCCTCCATCGTGATCGATGTCTGGGCACACAGCTGACACCATTCCCAAAACACTGACTCTGCACTGGTCCTTTCCTGCTGCACCCAATGGCCTTGCCAGCCAGACTTCCACCCCCCTACTGCTATCTCAATGTCTGCATCCTGGTGCTGTAGCTGGACACCCCCGCAGGGAGCCCTCCAGTGGGCTCCCACTCACTCACCCCATCAGCGGTCCAGCGCCTGTCCCAGCACCGCTGTGTTGCTGCACATCCTGGCTTGTCTCTGCCCTGGCCTGGCTGCTGGGGCATTCGGGCAGGCCTCTCCTTCCCCTGTGGCATTTGCCCAAGCTATAAGTGGGGAGAGCACTAACTTAGTATACGTGAGCGTTTGGGTTCCCGGCACCACAACAGAAATGAGGACTGCTATTTATCCATGTTGTGATCGGCAGCATTCGTGACCCCCAACCTGGCTTCCCTTTCCTCCTGGCCCCTCTGGGCAGCAGTGGAGTACTGTCCTCCAGGCTCCTTGGGCCACCATGTCAGCATATGCTGGTGTCGGGAGGCCACGGGCTTCACTGTGGAGGGAGAAGTACTGGATCTCTTCCAAGTATGGAGAGGGATCAGGGTGGCTGGTTTTGCTCTGTGGTGTCTAAATGTCTCCTGAGGTGGCTGCGCCTGGGTTGTGTGTGTGGCCATGGGTTGGGGTGAGTGCGGTGTGCAATTCCACAGAGAGAGCTTCTGAGTGGGCCCCCGTGCTAGGGGTGCCAAGGGACCCAGAGTGATGTGGCCATGCCTGGCCGGCCCCTGATGCCTGGCTCCATTGCAGCTCACCAACCATCAGGAGCTGTGGGCCTTCATCGTGACCAACTTGGCGAGTGTGTATATCCGGGAAGGAAATAGGCACCAAGAGGTAGTAGGTGACATGCTTCATGTTCGGTATCCTTCTTCTCCCACTGGGCCTGGGCTGACCTGGGAGCTGGGTGGTCCAGAGGAGCTGCGTAGGAAGCAGCTAACAGGGCTGTCTGGGGCCGCGGTTCCCAGAGGTGCTCCCGGGCTTGTTCGTCCTGGTCCAGCCCACCTCCCAGGGATGCACCACCGTGCTCAGGGCAGCCCCTGCTGGTGCCCATCCTACTATGGGCTGGAAGTGGCCCTCACTGGCCTTCTCTCCCTCCCATAGTTGTACAGCCTGCTGGAGCGGATAAACCCAGACCACAGCTTCCCTGTCAGGTAAGCGTCACGGGCCCTGTGGGCACCTCCTCTAGATAGAGATGCCCTCCTGCCCCTGCCACACTTCCCAGGTAATGGGTGACACTCCGCTCTCCCCACAGCTCTCACTGCCTGCGCGCAGCCGCCTTCTACGTGCGCGGCCTCTTCTCCTTCTTCCAGGGCCGCTACAACGAGGCCAAGTGAGTGTGGGCAGAGCGGTGGGTGAGCAGATCCTGGGTTCCCTCTCCAGCCCATAGCGGGGCCTAGCCTCTTACCCATCCATGACCTGCAGGGCCTTAGTGTCCCTGTCCCCTGGCCAGGCGTTTCCTGCGTGAGACACTGAAGATGTCCAATGCAGAGGACCTGAATCGGCTCACCGCCTGCTCACTCGTGCTCCTGGGTCACATCTTTTATGTGCTGGGCAACCACAGGGTAAGTGCCTGCAGCAGGCCTCCAGGGTCCAGGGCTTGGGGGTGCTGAGCTGTTAACACTTTAAGATGAGATTTTTTTTTTTTTTTTTTTTTTTTTTGGCGGAACCTGGGATTGAACTCAGACCCTTGGGCTTGCCAAGAAAGGGCTTATTCTACTGAGCTGTCTCCCTGAAAAAGATAATTTCTGGGCCAGAGAGAAAGCTCAGTAGAATAAGCACTTGTCTGGCAAGCACAAGGGTCTGAGTTCAATCCCTGGTACTGCAAAAATAAAAAATAAAAAATAAAAAAGATAATTTCCCGGTGATACTGTTCACCAATCCCAGCAACACAGGAGGCTGAGGCAGGAGGATCACAAGTTCAAAGCCGTCCTGGACAATTTAGCAAGATCTTATCTCAAAAGCAAAAGGGGTGGGGAGGCAGCCCCGGGTCAGTTCCCACAGAGAGGATGCTGCCTGTTGCCCACGTGCGCCCTCACCGCCCTCCATTGCCTTTCCACACGCAGGTGTGCTGGCTGGGCTCCCAGAGGCTTGGTCTCTTAGGCAAGTGCCACTGCACCTGGTGCACAGTGCACATTTTGAGGTACACTTGCACGGCAGCTGGCCAGCGTCCCAGAGTTACTGTGGCATGCACTTCTTGGTCTGTGGTCTTGTGTGCTCCCAAGTGGCCTGGCGCGTCCTCTCCCTGCACCGTGTGATAGAGCCTTCTGCGCCTTCCACAGTGCACCTGACGGGTGGTGGCCTGACCCTAGGGATAGGGACGTCTGCAGCCTGGGGGAGAGCACACTCTGCTACTAGAACGTTCTTTCCCTTCCCTGGGACTGTGGCTGGATGATCCTGCTCAGCGGGTCTCATGACCAGAACCCGACTCACCTATGTGGCTCCCCAGGGTGACCTTGAGCAGGCCAGCTACCCAGATGCTACTGGGACTCTTCTGCTGATTGCTGCATGCTCACCTGTGAGGTCAGCGGCCCAGGGAGATTCCAGCTGGACTGACTCTGGCAGAAGGCAGCCAAGGATGACCAGCCAGGGGTGCTCGGTGGCCCTGCCATGACCAGAGCGTGGTGCCAGCAAACACTTGTACAAGGCCTTGCCCATAGCTTGCCCTGCTCTTCCAGCCACTGCCACTGGCCTCAGGACACACTGCAAGGTCCTACAGACCCTTGAAACTGGCCGCTCATAGGCTGTTTGGGGAGCTGGCCTGAGGGGCCAGGGGAAGCGGGTTATCACCTCAAGCCCTGAGGGGCGCAGCTTTTCTGGGTATCATGGCCTGCTGGGTATCCTGAAGTTTAAGGCTCAAAGGAAGCCTGGGACCACTGTGGTCCCACTGCAGTGCAGCTGTGTGCAGTTGGGGCTTGAGTGGGGGTTTTATTCCTGTTTTCTGTGGAGCAGGACAGATGCCACCCCTGCCTTCTACCCCTGGGGTGTGGTGTTTGAGTCTTTGTGGGTCTCAGGTGCATGTCAGGTCCCTGGGCAGCATGGCGCTGTGCCCGGACCCTCTCTTGACCTATGTAGTAGCTGCACAATTAGTCGCTGTGCTGTGGCCTCAGGTCTGCAGCAGCCTTGGAGCATCTTGAAAGCCATCTTGTGGGCCAGCTTCCTCTCCTGCCTACTCAGCCCCAGGACCAGGCTGCAGAGTTTCTGGCTGGCTGGAGGCTGGGCTGGGACTGGCTGCTGTCTGCACTGTTGTCTGCGGTGGGGGAGACACAGGCCCTGCCACCCTGACCTGCCATGTGAGGCATGTGTACAGAGCCCAGAGCCAGGCCCTTTGCTTCTGCCATGGTAGACAGGCAGCACATCAGGGAGGGCCTTCTGTGTGTGGTTGGATGTTTTTGTTCATTTATTTTTTGTGTTGTTATTTTAATCCAGGTCTTGATCTGTAGTACAGGCTGGCCTTGTATTCATGATGATCCTCCTGCCTCAGCCAGCCAAAGGTGTATGCCACCTTGCTTGGCTGCCTGTTTAGTGAGATGGGCTCACTGTGTAGTTCAGGCAGGCTTTGAACTCACTTTGCAGCCAGGGTGGCCTTGAACTCACAGTGGTCCTCTTGCCCGAGCCTCCCAAGTTCTGAGGGGTAGGAGTGTCACCCCACTGCCTGCCCTGGCCCTTCAGTGCCCCGCTGCTCTGCTCGGCAGGAGAGTAACAACATGGTGGTGCCCGCCATGCAGCTGGCCAGCAAAATCCCTGATATGTCGGTGCAGCTCTGGTCGTCAGCCCTGCTGAGAGGTGCGTGTAGCCACCATCTACCCTGGGGACAGCAGCCTGGGCCGCTGTGGACCTGGCCCCAACCTGGCAGGGCACTCTCCCAGGACCTTGTCCCACCTGCCCTGGCCTATGAGTAGTATCAAGGCCAAGGCTGTGGGCCTGGCTCATATCCCCGACCACTTCCCCTTGGGCCACAGTTGTGCCTCTTAGACCCTCCAGTGGGTGTCGCAGGTGCAGGGTGGTTTGGCAGGGCCTAGGGCTGGTATGGAGCATGGTGTCCCTGTCCCACGTGGGCGGGCTGGCGTGCAGCTATGCCTCTGAGGCTGAGCAGCCCATGCCTGCATCCTGTCCTCAGACCTGAACAAGGCCTGCGGCAATGCCATCGATGCCCATGAAGCCGCCCAGATGCACCAGAACTTCTCGCAGCAGCTGCTCCAGGACCACATTGAGGCCTGCAGCCTCCCTGAGCACAACCTCATCACGGTGCGGCCCAGGGTTGGGGCGGGCACGGGGGACCCGAGGGGTCCTCAGCCACCCACTCGGGCCGTGCGCTCACCATACCTTCTCCCCACAGTGGACAGATGGCCCACCCCCTGTGCAGTTCCAGGCACAGAACGGGCCCAACACCAGCCTGGCCAGCCTGCTGTGAGCCATGTCCCAATGCCACCAGACGTGCTTCTGCTGTGTCGGGCGCAGGGCGTCCCGGCCTCAGCCCCAACATCTCTGACTTCTCGTCCTGTACTTCAGAGGGCACTGCCCAGTTCTGCCTGGCGCCAGGCCCTGGTCCTGAGGCCTCAGGTGGGACTCAGGGCTGCATCCAGAGCCACCCTCTAAAGGACCACAGCTCCTTGGCCATATCCACGGCACAGTCGTGCTTCTGGTGGACCTGGCCAGCCCCTGACCGCAGCCTCCAAATTCCTTAGCTGGACTGGAGTTGCCACCCTGCCATGGGGGCATGGATGTGTGTGTGTATGCATGGGGGTATGTGAGTGGAGCTTTGGCACCTGTTGAGCCCGCAGTGTCCCCCGGAGGCCAGGTGCAGAGAGAGGGGGCCTTGCCCACTCTTGTGACTGTAAGCCTGGAGTGAGGGGCTGCCTGGGCAGCAGTCAGCAACCAGTGTTGTGCCTGGCCGCCTCCGGAGCGAGACAATGCCACCTGCCGGGCCTCTGGGGATAGTGGCTCAGGCTACCCTCTGAGCTGCGTCCCACAGCAGCACTTGGGCTGGGCTCCTCTTGGACTTGGGAAGTGCCATGTACCCCAGGGCCTCTCCTGCCACAGCCAGGTCAGAGCCTCCCAGTGCATAAGGAGCCTGGTCCTCCCCCCTTTGTCTGGGTGACCCCTGCTGCCCTATCCCCTCTGGCCCTGTATTCCCCACCGTCTTGTCGCCATCATGTCTGTCCAGCCTATTTATTGAAGCCTCTCTGCTTGCCGGGCACTCTGTAGAGCCGTGTGGATGTGAGCTGAGGCTCAGCAGCACCCCCTGCCCCCCCGCCTGAATTCACATTTGCAGCTTACAGTTTAGTGCTCGATATTTAATGTTCCCCTGTGCGTAGCAGCAGCCAAGCCATGTCAGTGTGCGTGAGTGCGTGTGTGCATGTGTGTGGTGTGTGTGTGCATGCGCGTATATATGTGCAGGTGTACACTGCAGCCTCCCAGCCTGCCCCTGCCGTGCTCCCGTCTTGCTGAACAGTGGACTTCTCAAGAGATTCAAGATCTGGAAACGAGTCACTGACCCCCAGGGCCAGGACCTAGGTGGCCACACTGTCACTGCCCTAAGGCCCGAGGTGGGGTGTGCAGGCGGGAGATAGGGCCCACTGGGTCAGCAGCCTCAGCTTGGGTGTGGAGTCTTAATGGTTTGTACTGTTTTATTAGCAGCCTGTAACTTTCCAGAGGTGCTTTTAATCAGGAATGAATTGTAAATACAGGACCTGTTTCAGACATAACTCTAGAGTATAGCTTCCTGTTTGTGGATCTTTTCCTGTATATTTTAAGTAAAGTAACTGACAGGACTCAGCCTGCACCTGGCTTTGTCTGTCTGCTCCTCCACATTATCTCAGTGCAGCCTTACCTGCAGCTGCTGGCTCCTCTGTGGCACCCGCCCCGTCCTCTCAACTGCTCAGGAGGCTGAGACAGGAAGGTCTCAAGTCAAGAGGAGCCCGGCCAACTTTGCAGGGCGCTCTCCCCAAACGAAAGGCAGGGTGGGGCATATAGCTCAGTACTCCTAGGTTCCACCACGCCCACAAGGGGGAGGCTCGCGGGGTTTGGGAGTAGAGAGAACCGACCTCCAGGTGGAAATAGGGCTCTCTGGTTAAGGTGCGTGTGCTGGGTCCTGGGTTATGAAGTGAGCCCAAGGCCAGCCTGAGATGCATAGTGAGACCCTGTCTCAAAAGCCCCCCCAAGCAAAGGCTGAAGCAGGAGGCGCTCCCTGCCCCTCCCCCACCCCCTCCCAAAGCTGGAGGCTGGCCTGGGCTGTGTAGTTTCATCTTGTCTTGAAGCCATTTGGGCAGAAGCAGACACCCTGTGCTACTTCCCCAAGTGTGACCTTGGCCTAACCTTCAGCCTCTCCCACAGACTTCTGTGACCTCAGAACTCGACACTGGCAGCCACAGTGCCACTGGGGCCTAGAGGAGTGGGGCACCCTCCCTCCTGGAGACGGGGTTGGGTGCGTCCCAGTGGCTGCAGAGACCCTGGTCCCCTTCCCACTGTCGCTGGAGTTGCCAAGGAAGGGTCAAGTGTTGTTCACAAATTGCAGTTTCTGTTTGTACCCCACATTCTGCTCAACCCAAGGGCATTGGCTGGAAAGAAAAAGTTGGGTTTTCAAAGGAATGTGATGCCCTTACCTTGGATAATTTTTCGAAGACCAGAAAATAGCTAAGTGGAGTGTTAGCCACATTACACAAAATACAGTGTTACAGTTGCTACAAAATTATTTTTCTCTTTTTTTGTGGTACTGAGGAACCCACAGCCTTCACACTGAGCTACAACCCCAACCCGTATTTTTTATTTTTTATTTTGAGACAGGGTCTCACCCAGACTGGGCTGGAGCTTGCTTTTTTTTTTTTTTTTTTTT